GTGAATGGAGTAATTGTTGGGATGCCACAGAGGAAAACTCCGTGTTGCCTAGACCACGGCCTTGCCCAACACAAGTTATAAATTCGAACCCGAGACCCCAGGATTACAAGGCCAGCGTTCTAACCGCTAAACCACCAAATAAAATACCTTCACTTTTGCATATTATCAGGTAATTACAATATAATGTAATAATTATCTAGAGACAGCTATATGGAAATCAATCTCTTCACTGGTGATGAAAATGTGTAGGCTGTGTATCAGCAAAGTTACCCCCTTATGGGAATTTTCATGCCTGTGCAACCCCACAGATTTCAATTTATCCTTACATTTAAAATTAAAAAGTGTAAGATGAAATTAAGGCAGTAGCAACTCTTATATATACAGTTTGTCCCAAAAATATGTATACACACACATTCAGTGAATGAAACAGACATTTTAATAAACTAAACCATTATGTAAGTCAGCATTGGCACTTAATGAATTAGCAAATCTAGTGTAGGTGTTCAAAATGATCAGTTAGCTACGTGACACAGAAGACAGCGGAGAGCAACTGACTGACAAATGGCAGCCAAAGTTGCTGCTGGGACGGCCGCACAAGACCGTTCAGTTTATTGCCGAACCTCTTGTAGTGTCGCTGGCTTTGTGCTGTCGGTACTCGACAGATCCACTGCATCCTATCCATCGGTAGGGAAAAATGTCATCATGGATAGGCCCTCACATCACGATGACAATGTGGGGTTGCCCCATCTTGTTGACACCACACGCCCTCAATTACATACATTTGACAAATGGCGGGAACAATGTATTGCATGTGTAAACATCTTTTTGTGACATCATGTGTGTATGGATCACAATTCTATGATAAAAATAGCGTATTTTTCCCATAATAAATGAATACATGAATCCTGGATAAGATGGGTGTCCTGAGAATATCAAAACAAAGGAAACAAAGACCATTTTTCATACTTTTACAGCTACAAATTCCAAAACTGAATTAGTTTTAACACCTTTTGTAGTTATACTTCAAAAGATATTAAGACGAAATCACACGAATTAAACTTGCAGCTGGAACAGAATAATCAGCTCAATCCACGATGATGATGATACATGCACAATTATAAGTCATCCAGGTTTCAGAAGCACCTGCTCACCTTCTCCTTCTTGCAGAGACTTCGCATCTCCGTACGCTTCGGGCACTAGCTTAGCGTAGTAGTGTCCTTCCCGACTGTCAAACCCATTGACGTCAAAGTAGACAGACCCATTAGATTCATACGCTAGACCATTTTCAATTATCCTTTCAATGTACGTCACGATCTCCGGGATGTATTCACTCACCCTCGTTAGGACACAAGGACGCTGAACCTGCAACATCATATTCGCACCTCTTTGAAAGTAGATCGGTATTTAAATGTTCGATAAAAACCCACATAACGACTTCACCTACCAAAACATTAACTACAATTAGTGTTAAGAATTAAATATTAATGTCAGTCTTGTTTTTGAACATTAAATTCCAAACATATTAGTGCAGTCAGAATTGAGGTTTTTCATATGTAAAACAAGCGGCCTCTTTTTAACAGATACTGAAACAAATCCAAGGAAGAATTCTCACTGGCACAATGCGGTGAAGCATTCCTCCAGACAAAGCCCTGCCTGAATCTGCATACCAGAATACTGACTCGTTCTTCCTAGCACACGAGACGCACTGCTTTAGCGGTTTGCCATTCTTCTTTCAAAAGGAATATTCCTACCGTTCTGAAAGCCTTTTTGGCGGAGGTTCAATAGAACACACTGGCCACGGCACATGGGCCCGCGTGTTTCTACGACGCCTTTAATGAGTGTCATTCCAAAACTCAAATCATCGAACTTTTGACTGACTTCTGTTGCCCCAAAACACACCTCTGTGTTGTCGATGGCAACATTCAGCAAATCTTCTGAAAAATCTGATATACCCTTTCTTGCATCCCAATACCACATCAGCACCTCCCAAGTTGGCATTGTGTAATCAGAGGCCACCTAAGATTTTTTTACCTCCATCATTTGAAATCACCACTGTGTTTCACGAGTTTCTTTGTTTTGACAAGACAAGAGACATTTTTTCTGTCGACACTATCCGAACCTTTTGTTTTCAGAAAAGGAACCGGAGCGCGAGAACTTAAATAGTTGTCCATTCACAATGCACGGCCATGATCTAGGGCAGATCCAATCAGGTAGCACATATATACTGTACTTGACTCGCATAGTTCTAAATGTTTTATACCAAATTTAGTAGCCTACAGAGGACTGGTTGAATGAGTCATCCTTTCCAGGGTGAGAGACACATCAATAGTAATGCTTTGGCCTAGAAGGTAGAGGCTTTGAAATTTTTTACTTAGGTACTGGACAAGAGGATGGATCTTGAATACTTCATAACCACTCTGAAATTGGTCTTTTTGTTACCACTGCCATTATCAAAAGGGAAGTTAAGACTACAGGCACATAACATATACAACAAACCACACACTGAGGGGTTAGAATATCACACATAAACATACGAGGTGCGATCGGAAAGTTTCAAGACTGTTTCAATAGAGGGCGAACCGGATGTAGTACGAGCTTCTGCCGCTAGGGGGTGCGGCCTACATTCATAGTGAATCAGTGTGCCAGCCGGCATCATCGAATTAGCATTTGTTTCGTAGTCATGAAATGAGATGTTATATTTAGTGTAAAAATTTCCAGTTGTTGTGACAAACTCTTGTCCGGATTGAAGTGATCGACCTGACAGGACACAACAGTAAATTGATCAAACTGGTTTTACCTTGTTAATTGAATGAATGACCGAGTGAGATTACACAGTCGTACCAACTCTTGACTTGAATTCGGGAGTTTCCCGTTAGAATTTCGGGTGAACCCGCTCGACCACACGTCACAGTAAACCTTTGTGACTGAAGAACGATCTCCAACACACACTCCAGCCATTTATTTTTGTAACAACGCAGTTAAAACCAAGTGAGTAATCCGACGGAATAGAAAATCTTATAGTCGTTTAGCAGGTCAATAGATTCAGCTTTTTCTATGCAACTCGAAAGTTCATTATCGCGTCATACCGTCACATATTACGAGGTGCGATCGGAAAGTTTCAAGACTGTCTCAATAGCGGGCGAACCGGATGTAGTACGAGCTTATGCCGCTAGGGGGTGCGGCCTACATTCATAGTGAATCAGTGTGCCAGCCGGAATTTTTTTCCATGTACTGAACTTGAGAAGTTCTTACATTGAGGGCATCCATGTCCTCGTGAAACTGATTTTCCCAGTGTTGAGGAAGTTTGGCAAAAATTGAATTATCTGTAACACTTGCACCACAGTTGAAATCCAGCCACTCCGACAGCGGATCCTTCGCCTCCACCAGCAAAACCTGCAAAAGCACCACAACACAGTCGACACTACAGGATTAAACCAAGTTTATGCATATAAAATTACTGCAGCACTTTAATAAGAACTGCGCCATAAAAGAACAAAGTTTTCACTGTCATAAAAACAATAAATCGTCTTCGCCAAGCGTACTTGTACATACTTCTACTGTCAAATGGTAAAAGCTGGATGAAATATCTTTGTAGCCTTCAGTACGTTTCCCCTACAACTTTGAACACCAGAATCTGGGAAGGAAAAGACGCCTAAAAGTCTTTTAGTGCAAGAATGAAATGTGCACACTGACAGCACCAACAACACGATTTTCAGTTTTTATCTTAACCTTTTAGGCATCGCATTTGAACTCCTTGCCTCTATGCAAGCATGTACGGATTTAAACGGAATTTAAACTGTCTCAAAGTGCTGCATGTTGCAGAATGTAGTGTATTTATTGTATTTTTTAAGCTAAAAACTGAAAATAAAACTCTAATACTTAGAACAAATAAATTTAATTGCACACAAAGTTTCACATCGACCAGTCCTTATATACACACCGACATCACGTTTACTTTAATTTATTCTCCGAATATTTTTCCATGTTTTAATCAATTATTTACTAAACTTAACTCCATACTGCAGATTTATGACGGCAGAAATTCCTGGGGTCAAGTGTACTTGGTTTAGAACTGCCACGGGCATTTTCGTTTGGCTTGCCATGGCACGTGGCGAAATTAATACAATCTTTCTCACAGTTGTTTGCGGGTGGTCTGATTACGGAAAGTCTACACTGAATTTCATGTCACTAATAGAAAACAGTATTTTTCACTATTATCTACTTTGAAAAAATTAGCTGTACGAGTGCTCTGTGGTTTACTTTACAACACTGTCAGCACATGATATCATGACGGATGAAGAATGAATTGGAAAGAATATGGAAGGAAGCAGCCATGTCTAACTAACTAACTAGATGGCTTAGGGAACCCAAAGGTTCATCACCGAATTAACCAAAGCCTTGTCCTGGGCCAACAAAATCCAGTCTCCTTCAACTCCTATCTCCCATAGACCAAGCCTGAGATTATCCTCCCATCTACGTCTAGGTCTCCCCAGCGGTCTCTTCCCCTCAGGATTCCCAAATAGTGGACCCAACCAACTAGATGGCTTACGGAACCCGAAGGTTCATCACCGAACTAACCAAAGCCCTGTCCTGGACCAACAAAATCCAGTCTCCTTCAACTCCTATCTCCCATAGATCCCGCCTGAGATTATCCTCCCATCTACGTCTAGGTCTCCCCAGCGGTCTCTTCCCCTCAGGCTTCCCAAATAGTGGACCCAACCAACCAGATGGCTTACGGAACCCGAAGGTTCATCACCGAATTAACCAAAGCCTGTCCCTAGCCAGCAAAATATAATCGCCACTACCAAATGTCTAAATAGATTAAGTAGCCTCCAAAAAAGAAGCAGCCAAGACCCACACTGGGTTACAGAGCCACAGAAGCTGATGATAACCTGGTATTCGCCTAGAGGGCCTGAAGAAAACAGCAAAACCCTCTGTCAGGATAGCCAGACTGAGATTTCAACTCAAGACATCCCAAATATGAAGCAGGAGTGCTAACCATTCAGCCACAACATTCAGTGAATAGCAGCGATGAAAAATTTCTGATACTGAACACCACAAACAATTCATTGTGCAATTTCATATTACAGATCATTAGCGAGAATACTCCGAGTGAAACATTATTTAAATTACGTGACTAAAAATATGGTATAATAGTTAATTAGTTAATTTTCTGAGATAATTACTGATGACTTGTTGGTACCTCTTGAGCTTTTTTGATTTTTTCTTCATCTTGTGACTTAACCGCAACTTCAAGTTCTTCAACGGCTCCCGTCATCCTGACCAATAACTTTTCCAACATGCATTTCTTGTCAGCATCTGCCGTTGCCTTTACAGTTCCACCGAGAAATTCCATCACACTCTTAGCATCATCCAAATTCTTTTTCAAACTGTGTCCTTCTTGTACGTAGTTTTCATACAAGTGATTCTGTCTAGCGCGTTTAATTATTTTATCATCAATGTCTGTTATGTTCATGACATACAGAACATCATATCCAAAGTAATCCGAAAGCACTCTTCGAAGGATGTCAAATGAAATATAGGATCTGAAAGACGAAACAAATAAACATAAACATATTCTTCTTGTATGTGATCAACCAAAGGTAATGAGGATAGCACCGAGAGCAGAACCATTGAACGTTGTAATTGGAAACCAACAGATGGAGAATGTGGAGCATTTCAAGTACTTGGGAAGCATAGTCACGACGGACGCCCTATGCACCAAGGAAGTAAAAGCAAGGATAGCCATGGCCAAGGCAGCTTTCGTCAAGAAGAGGATACTTCTCACTAGCAAGTTGGGCTTGGAGATGAAGAAGAAACTAGTGAAGTGTTACGTATGGAGCAGAGACTTGGACACTCAAGAAGAAGGAACAGAAATACCTGGAGAGTTTTGAAATGTGGTGTTGGAGAAGAATAGAGAAGATCAGGTGGACGGATCGAGTGACCAACGAAGAAGTATTGAGGAGAGTCAAAGAGCAAAGAATCATTCTGCAGGCGATTACACGAAGGAAAGCTAACAACTGGCTGGGACATATTATGAGAAGAAATGGATTACTGAGTGATATCACCGAAGGCCAGGTTGAAGGAAAGAGAGGACGAGGAAGAAGATTGATACAGCTAACCGACGACCTTAAACAAGGAAAGAAGATGAAGTTTCAGGAGTTAAAGTCGTAAGACAGAACACTTAATAATAATAATAATGTGATCAACCATTACAAAGTAACGGGCATTGGCCTAGTGTTAATTAGAGTAACATAAGCTATAGTTCAAGGGAAGTAACAGGATGCTATTAGTAAAAGTAATATTATCTTGGGCAAAATACAAACAATAAAACCATTTTACAATTATACAGTTTGCCTCCTTAACCCTTTCACTGTGCATTACTTTCTCACTACTTTCTTAAATTAATACAATTTAATGTAAAAATATGAAAAATTATCAATATTTATTTTAAAGTAATATAACATTTTCACACAAATTCAGATACTTCAAACAAGGTGGTTGGTAGCAGCACTATGCATGCAAACAAACATGCATTTCCATTGGTCAGTGAATGAAGTCAATTGACACAGGAAATGGAGATTATTTCTCGATGTGGACTAAGGTTGAATGTCATACTACTTCGACTTTTGTTGAATACTGCAGCAATTGGGTTAAACTATATTAAAGTAACCTAACCTAACACACCTAAACAGGGAGAAGGGCTGTGGAAATTAAAACTGTTATGGAACAGGAAACAGGGGGGAATATTTTCAAGCACACTGAAACATTAAAACACAAATAGATATGCCTGTATAATGCAAAGGTGTCACCTTGTTGGAACTGGAAACCTCCTTTACAAGTGGCGTGTTGCATTTGTCGAGTAAAAGGAAAAATAACCTTAAAACGTTGTTCCAAAATTTAATTTACCTTGCATGGCCCATATGTGAAGCATCATAGACAGTTGGTCCGCAACTGTACCACAGAACATGCCGCCCATTTTGAGGTATGAATTCCTCCTTCTGACGAGTAAGACTGTTGAAGAGTTTGAGAATAGGACCTGTTGATCTTCCAGGTGGTTGCCATTTAGGTTGAGAGCGTTTTGACATTCTAAAGCGTTTATTTATTAATGAATACACAATTATAGTTTGGCACATATTTAATAATGAACAATAATGATTAATTCATAAGCAAATAAAAAATTGTAGCTAAGTAGTTCATACATCCTGACAGTGAGTCTTTTCACATACCATGATGCCACGTACCGATTTCTTAAACACTATACGTAGCAGTATCTGATGAAGTATTGAAATCCGAAAGAGTACGTCAGTTTGAACATGTGACAACTGAATACTTACATGTATATGCCTTCCCTTCTTAAACAACTTGAAATACTCAAATGACTTTAGCGATTTCTGACGCTGCTATCAAAACTTGCATAAACCGAATTTGATTCACACTTTCCTCATTATGAAATGAACCACGATATTGCAACACGTTTTCAGATTTCAGCGCCGTTGAGCAGAGAATACTAAAGAAAAGTCATGACCACCAACGTACTATATCCGTGGAGTGGTGCACATCTTCAGATGAGGATTACGGGCTGAGCAACTCAAAGAATACACTGCCTGAATAGAAACCCGAAGGTTCGCAACCGTGTTCGCGAGAGCCTACCACCGTTTTATCTTCAGCTTCATGAATTCTGTCTACGCAACATAAATCTATTTTCCCAAGCTCCATTTCAGTCCTATCCTTCGCCTGTGAATGTGTTTTGTGCAACCCACTAACTGAAATACACAGATTTTCCAAGAGCATTCTTTGCTCCTTTTTATTCAAATTGCTCCTAGGTGACAAAAAATATATCATACATACAGTTAACATTATCACAGAAGGATAGCAATAGATGGCACGCAATGTAAAAATGTAATGTAATAAATGTAAAATGTATTTCTTTTCAGTCATGATATATTTATTAACTCTTGCGTAAATATTCTCTTATTTAAAAGGAAATTACTGCGAATTTAAATTTAATTTACGTATTTTCCACTATTATCATTATTATAACCACTGACATTTTTAACCATATGTTCAAACAATGTTTCATTTCTTCTATATTGATTAATTTATTTAACGGGAATGGATTATTGACGGTACAGCATTGTATTAAATAGAGGGCATAGTCTTTGTTAATAAATTAATGTAATGAAGGTGGCAACTGCAATGTTTGCCGAGACGTTAGATAAGTTCTATTAATTGAAAGACTGCGGCTGAACCTTTAAAAGCCGACGTAATACAATTTAATTCTTTCCATCTTTGGTGTCTCACAGAGTGTGGTAAAGTGTTTTATGATGTTGGTAAACTGTGGTCAAGTGTCCTTTTCTATCGCATTTTAGTACCATAGATTAACATAGGTAACTTACGAACGTACAGTGGGTGGTTTTTGTGAGCATATTGAGATTGAGAATAGTAACGTGGCTTGTAACATGCTTGTTGTTCCCGTATTTATTGAATTGTCCCTTGAGGACCAGGTAATTTTGAAGTGTGTCATTCATTACAGTGCCAAGTATCTTTAATTATTGTGAACGTTCACAGCGTGACGTTTAAAGATGTTATTAAGATTCTGAGGTTAAACCTGACTTGCATGGGTTTCTAATTTAAGATTGTCATTATTGTTGTTTGCTATTTATCACTAGGCTCAAGAACTGCGAGCATATTTCAAAAGTCTTGGTGCAG